GCTTGCCCTCAGCACATTGAGTTCGCTCTGGCACTGACGTTCTTAATAAACCACCAGAGGACTCCAGTAAAAGCATGACAGGCCACAAGCTTTGAGGTTGAGCCCATGCAAGTGCCTGGGGCCTGGCGGATATCTTTGGCTAAAAGATGAGCAAAACCAGGTGATGTGTTCTGAGGATTACAGAGGGAAGCGTGCACAACCCTGAGGGCAGCGGTGCAGAGAAGCTATTATCATCTACAGCGGGATATAAGCCGACGGTGAAAAGATGCGAGAGAAAGGTGCGAGAGTGGGCAGACATGAGCCAGGGCCTTAAAGCATGGTAGCATTGTAGCACTGTCCTCTTGTTGTTCATCAACGAGCAGGCACCAGTAGCGTCTCCACTGTGAGACGAGTTGTTACTGTTTTTGGCATATCGAATACATCACGGGGAGCTTGCCAGGCTCTGCCATGCGGGCGGGATACTCTCTGTAGCTTGCCGGCTCTCCGAGAGGGGCGGAGGAATCGAACCCGGGTCAGCTGTGTGCAAGGCAAATGCCCTACAAACATTTGTTTTTGTGGTGGAGCTATACCCAGTGGGATCAAATGGGATGCCAGAGATGGAACCCGAGTCAGCAATGTGCAAAGCAAATGCCCTTCCTGATGAGCTAGCGCTGAGGAAGGGTATTTTATTGACTCACCGTGAGATAAAGTTGTCATGATTGGATTTCAATCATACAATGTCCCAATGCTCTTCCCACCATCAATGTCCCCACTCTCACCTGCCTCTAGGGCAGACACTTTGACTTCTCTCTCTCTGAGGAAGGATATTTTATTTTTATTTGTTGGCTCTTTTGGGGGCACAACTGGCAATACTCGGGTTATTCCTGGCTTTGTAATCAGGAATTACTCTTGGCAGTGCACAGGGATCCATATGGGATGCTGGGGATCAAAGCACGCAAGGCAAACACCCTACCCGCTGTGCTATTGCTCCAGCACAGAAGGATATTTAAGTTAACATTTATTGCACACTAAACTAACGGGAACGTAATCCTTCCAAACTCCCTAGGAGACAAGACTGCGCGTCCCCTCGCTATCAGGAACCTTTCCCAAGCTGCCAAGTGGGGACATGAGTGGAAGGACAGTCACTGACCTTGACGGAAACAATTTTCTGCACTCCCAGGCACCCCTCGGCAATAACCTACCAACTCATACCACATAAGGGCAGGGGATGTGGCTCACTGGCAGAACACATGTGTGGCATCGTGCGAGACCCTATGCGTGTGGCCTAGTCCCACTATGAACTCATCTGGCCAGGTCAGAGTCCGTAGCAGGGAGAGCTGGAAGGGTGCGGCTGTGTGCCGGCAGCTGCGAAGCTCTCCTGCGCTACCTGAACTTTCTTGCTTTTGTCATAAAAAAGAAGCCACCCCCTTGTGGCTTCTCTCAGTGACTGACTTCTCTCAGCAACTTCTCTCAGGCAGCCATGAAATCGTAATGGTGAAATGGCATCAGAACTTTCCAGAAGGGTGTGTGTGCGTGTGTGTTGTGTGTGTGTGTGTGTGTGTGTGTGTGTACTTTTTCCTAGAAGAAACAGGCTTAGAAGACGAGGGGAGAAGACTTTGCCAATGGAAAATCAGTGATCAGCAGCGTGGCTCAGCTTCCCAGGCCCTTCCCTGCAGCAGCCCGGATATTGGTTTATGTCCCTGTGAGCAGCTGTTCCTGGGGGTGCTCTGGCGCTCATCTCAGCCTGCTCAGGGGTAGCACCTGATACGCCCAGGTGGGCGGGTGAAGACCAAGTGGTGCCACGCAAGCCTCCAGCACGCAAAGCCTGCGCTCCCAAGTTGAGCTATCTCTCCTGCCCCGGCTCGCTCTAATTTTTGTGGTTGTTATTGCAGTGGCCACAGTCAGCAACCAGACCATGGTACAAGAGATCAAATGCAGAGCTGCATACAGGCAAAGGCTGCCTTGCGTCCTGGCTCCTTGCCCACAGCCTGTTCACAGGTGCCCTGGGTTTACCCTCAAGACTGGCACAGCAAATGCTGCTCCTGCTTCTGTGCCAACTTTTACTGATTCTCTTCTCATTGTTTTGGTTCGCTTTGGGACCACACCTGGTGGTGCTCAAGGCTTACTCCCGGCTCAGGGATTTATTCCCGGCCGGCCGGCCACTTGCAGTGCAAACGCCCTCCCTGCTGTACACTGGCTCCAGCCGCTTTTCTCTCTGTTGCGTTCAAGAGCCTTTTATAGATTTCAGTCTCTCAATCCTCCCAGCATTCAGCATTCAAGAAGCCTCGAAGCTTGTGGCCTGAAGTGCTTTTACTGGAGTCCTCTGGTTTATTAAGAATGTCAGTGCCACGTTCTCGGGGTAAAGGCAGCTCAGATAGAGAAGGGAGCACCAAATAAAGAGTGTTGGGAAGATCCGCCAGGATGGGAGATGCATGCTGAAAGTAGACTATAGACCGAACATGATTGCCACCCGTTGCCTCTTTTGCAAACCACAACACCCAAAAGGAGAGAACAAAAGGGAATGGCCTGCCACAGAGGCAGGGTAGGGTGAGGGGGGTGGGGGGTGGGAGGGATTCTGGGATCAGTGGTGGTGGAGAATGGGCACTGGTGAAGGGATGGGTACTCGATCATTGTGTAACTGAAACACAAAAATTTGTAAGTCTACAACTGTACCTCATGGTGTTTCACTAATAAAAACAAAAATAATAATTAAAAAAAAGAATGTCAGTGCCAAAGTGAGCTCAATGAGCTGAGGGCAAGCTTTGCATACAGGAGGCCTGGATTCGATCCTGGGCACTGCCTGGCCACTCCAGCACCACCAGGGTGTGGCATGGAGCCACACCCAGCCCCTGAGCACCACTGGGTGTGGCCCAACGCCCACACCTCCCTCCATCATCTCCCACAGAAAATGTCAGCTCATCACCTCCTGGAGATTTCTTTGCAAGTCACTCTTTTGTCAAGATTGTCTGAATCTCCCCTTTGTGAACTAGAAACAAAATTTAGAACATACAACACTCGTAAAAAAGTTCAGTGAGATTTCCTTCAGAACAGGCTTATGGAACTGGAATATTGAATTTAATAGACCAGGCTTTTGTATAAGAGCATAAGAATTAGTAACTGGGTTGCTGTTCTCGTTATCTGCCATAGACCCAAATTTTCCCAAAGGTCTAAATGTCTTTACCCATAATAAGTAGAAAGCCCAATTATGTGCATCATCTTATAGTCCTAAGCATACTCTAATTGTTGTTGTAATGGTGAAGTTTCCAGATTTTTTTTTTTTTTGGCGGTGCCTAGGATTGAAAAGGACTCACCCATACAAAGCAAGTGTTCTACCTCTTTTTTGGGGTCATACCCGGCGATGCACAGGGGTTACTCCTGGCTCTGCACGCAGGAATTACCTTTGGCGGTGCTCAGGGGACCATATGGGATGCTGGGAATCAAACCCGGGTCAGCCGTGTGCAAGGCAAACACCCTACCCGCTGTGATATTGCTCCAAGCCCCGAGTGTTCTAGCTCTAAGCGACATTTCTAGCTCCCCAAATTACTTAATATCTAGAACAGATCATCCATTAAACAAATCTCTCATTATTTTATCTAGTAGAATCACAGCTGTTTTTCACTCTGATCAAGATTTGGAAAACTACTCCCTGGGAGGTTTTTTGTTTTGTTTTTGCTTTTTGGGTCACACCGGGCGATACACAGGGTTACTCCTGGCTCTGCACTCAGGAACTACTCCTGGCGGTGCTCATGGGACCATATGGGATGCTGGGAATCGAACCCGGGTCGGCCGCGTGCAAGGCAAACGCCCTACCCGCTGTGGTATTGCTCTAGCCCCTCCCTGGGCGTTTTATGCAGTTTTATGCAGATACAAGTCTACATGTGCCTTGCAGCCACAAGCGTGGTTCCTAAAACCGAGATTAGCCCTCTGGTGGAGTAATTTCATCTCAACTTTTCCTTGCCAAGCCAAGAAATGGAGAAAATACCATTTACCTCAGACACAGAAAGTTCCCGTCTTAAAAGCCTGAACTACCATTCGGGGTACACCGAAGGTTTCGATAAAAGCTAAACTTCTAAGAGAGTGAATGAGAATATTGTTCAGCATCACTTCCAACACTAGGTGTCACTGTTTCTCTTAGTACTGAGAGGGAGTCACTGATTCACTAAAGGTAAAGGTAAAGGCCCTCCCGCTGATCGCCGATCTGCTCGAGCGGGCCCAGTAACGTCTCCATTGGAGACTTTGTTGTTACTGTGTCTGGCATATCGAATACATCATGGGGAGCTTGCCAGGCTCTGTCGTGCAGGCGAGATACTCTCGGTAGCTGGCCGGGCTCTCCAAGAGGGGCGGAGGAATCGAACTCGGGTCAGGCATGTTGGCCGCTTGTAAGGCGAACGCCCTACCGCTGTGCTATCGCTCCAGCCCCACTAATTCACTAATTTATCTCTAATTCACTGTATGGACTGCCCAAGCACCCCTAAATTTAGCCCTGATGACTTCCATTCCCACTGGGTCTGAGCGATACCACACTACTAGGCCCTCTCTACCATCGAGGGGTTGGCTGGAATCGCCAGGAGTGGCCCTGGAGGGTGCTGAGCACTGCAAAAATGTTTTATTTTTTCATTTGGACGAACAACTTTCTAAGTACAGCAAAGAGCTGCTTCAGTACCCTTCACTTTAGTTAATGGAATGTCCTGCAATAGAGAACCTGATAAATACACACTGAAACTGCCAAAAAAAAGTTTATTTTAGCAAAAGCAGCACTTAAAAATAATTTGTCCTTTTATTGTAAAGCTCAACAATATAAGGATTTTTGTCACTTTTTTTAATCAGAATAAAAGGTGAGACAGTTAATGTTCAAAACCGGAAACTTGATAATTAGACCAAAAAAATCACATTTATTTCAATAGCTCAAAGTGCAAAGACAGCAAGTTCAGTTTACAAAGTTCCAAGGTACAGCTTTAGTTTGTGAAAACGTGATAGGCAAAAATGAAATGGTCCATCGCAGAAATAAGGCCCAATTTAAAAAAAAAAAATTCTAATTACCTGAAAACCTCGAGACTAAAACACATCACGTACACTAATTCAGAATGCATTAACTCATAGGTGCCACTACAGTGAAAATAAGGGCTTCTCAAAGAAAGGAAACCACTCACATTGGTCAGTTCGAAGCAAGAGTGGAGTTCTGGCCATTGGCTATTCCTGATTCCCTCTCCAGATCAGCTGATACTGATACTTTATCTTTACGCAGATTCTAAAAAAACACTTAAAGCTCAGTACGAAGTCACCACGATTTTTAAGAATTTGTGACCAATCTGTACTTAAAAGACATAAAAATCCACTTCAACTCTAGGCTTAAGGTATTTTTATCACTGGAGCAAAGTCATAGATTAATACTTCTTCCATTACTTAAAACCTCTCTGTAAGGTTAGAAACATGATCTTTACAAAAATTCTTTATGAAAAAGTCAGACTTAATAAATATTTCCTTCTTTCTACACATACAGGATTTGTGTGTAAAGGAGAAAAAGTTCCCACTTGAAGAGAATAAAAGGGTTAATTTCTTTTTATCACTTAGCAGCCAAGACATTTTATTTCTGGTCCCCAGAAGCAACCTCGCTACTAGTGCTGAGTCAGGAAAAGGTGTGTGTCCAGGTTGGTTTCGCCTCTGAGATATCATTCTGTTTTTTTCTCCGACTTCTTCACCTTTTCGTAGTAGGCAAGATACTGAGAGTCGGTCCCGAAAAGTCGATCCCACCAGGTAAACGTTGAAGCATAGTTTCCAATGAAGTTCATGTGGTGAAAATCATGATGCCGGGCACCGGCATAGAAAGGGATGAGATGTAACGGGTTGAGGGGAATATCATAACCACTGAAATAAAAATGAGAGTTAACAATTATTAAGCAAATGAATACACCGCAAATGGTGACTTCTCCACGGCTCATCATGGGTTCATTAACGAGTTCAAACTTCCCCCTTCACCTCAATCTCTTTATTTCTGACACACTGATAAAAACTTACAGAAAACGGTGCATATTCTTGGGGGGTGGTCTCAGGGGGACAATGATGGAAGGCAAGGACATTCGGGTGGCATGGAAGATTGGGAAAGTTGTACGCATGAAACTCTATCAAGAACTGTATTATAAATCATAGTCCCTCAAATTTTTAAACAAAAAAATTTTTTTTTTTCGTTTGTTTTGGTATGGGACTTACTCTGGCAATGCTCAGGGTTTACTTTTGACTTTGCACTCCAGAAATTACTCCTGGTGGGGTTTGGGGACCATATGGGATGCTGGGGATCCAACCTGGGTGGCCGCATGCAAACCAAGTGGCTGACCTACCTATGTCTTCAATCCTCGTTCCCTCCAAATTTTTAAACAAGATATTAAATTTTGGAAAAGATTTATATAGGAAATTCTATCAGAGGATGCAAGGTAAGAGTTTAGAGTAAATGATCTTTCAACATCAATTTCCTGTTTTTCCCTGCTGTTTGAGAGTTCTCTTCCCCAAATCGGTAACATTCTTTGAGCAATGAGAAAAGGTCTTATGGAATTAGTTCCAAGATGGGAAAACTGTTGTGTTGTACCTGCCTTGACTTTCTCAGGAAGTGGCAAGGTGGAACTATGTCATCGAGATTACAGGTCAAGCCAGTGTGCCTCCTATTGTCTGGGGCAGGCATACAAGATTTCTGTGAGGTCAAATTTTAGAGTATCTTCCTTTAATTATTTACTTTTGGTTTGGGGGTGGGCACACTGGTGGTGCTCAGGGCTTATTCTCCTGGCTCTGCTTGGGAGGGGTTCAGGGGACCATATGTGGTGCCGGCAATTATACCTGAGTTGGTTGCATGCAAGGCAAGCACCTTACCCACTGTATTATCACTCCTGCCTCCTTCCTTTAGAATTAACTACAAATCTAAAATCTGACATTGATAATTATAATAGCTCATAGAAGCCCAATTCCTCTCTTCCTTCAGAAGGCTGGGAGGGGCAGAGGGAGAAAAGAACGACGAGGATAAACACTGAGAGACATCGCCTATAAATGACCCACAGAACATCCTCTGCTAGAACAAGACACATTCATTTTGCTACGTTAGTGCTTTCAGCATAATTCTTAGAATTTGACGTTCTTTTCGCACCAGTACAGTAGTTGGTCCCAGATCTAAATGAAATGACTCTAAAATAAATTTCAAATAATGAAAATATGAAATAATGAAAATATTATAAAAAGTCATGAAAACAGAAAATAATTTCCATCCACAGAAAGGGAACCTGTAACTTAGGTACATGTTCAAGCAGGGCCTGCAGCAGACCTGGGCAGCAGAGAGTGGGCAGAGTGCTAGCTGGTGAAGGCTGAATGTCTCAGGGTATTTCCCCAAATAGGAATTCAGGCCGGGGAGACAGCACAGGGCTCAAGGCACTTGCCTGCATGAGGCTGACTCCAGTTGCAATCCCTGGCATGGCAACTGAGTCCCCCAAACCCTGCCAGGAGCGATCCCTTAGCACAGAGTCAGGTGCAAGCCCTGAACGCAGCCAGGAAAGCCCCAACGCCCACTCCAAACCCCAAATTCTTTTTTGCCCAATAATGACACGCTCTTGTTTGCGTAACAGAATTCAAGCCTGGGGGTTAGTTCAGTAGGAAAAGTATGTGCTCGGCTGCGGGAACACTGGGCTCGTCACTGGCACTCCCCGCCAGACCCCCAATGAATCTCTCCTATGAATCCACATACGAGTCATCTCATGGCCATGAGAAGAGATGTCCCTGAAGAGAAACGGCCACTTACCTGTGGACATCAATGGTTTCTAGCAAACGAAGAGTCACCCACGCCCAAAGCAAAATGACATGATCACATAAAAGCACGATCCCGATGAAAAAGCCTGTCCCGAGAATGAGCGTTTCCAGAGGGTGTGCGTATTCCGCTTCCATTCCAAACGGAGCCTGAGACAGAGAGAGAGCAGTCCTTCTCTTATTGTTCTGGTTCATTCTATGTGAAAATTTATATATATATATATATATAAATGTGTGTATAAAAAAATAATATATATATTTGGCTCTTTGGGTCACAACCAGCGATGCTCAGGGTTTACTCCTGGCTCAGGAATCGCTCCTGGTGATGCTTGGGGGAATATATAGCATGCTGGGGATCGAACCCAGGTCAGCTATGTGCAAGGCAAACGCCCTTCCCACTGTCCTATTGCTCCTGCCCAACTATGCGACAATTGAGCTCTGGTGTCTGATCACACAGTTAAAATATCCATCGCGTTTTTGTTGTTGCTGTGTTTTTGTTTTAGATCTCACTAGCGTCTCAACAGCAGATCTGGGGACTGGACAGGCACTTGCCTTACATGTGGCTGACCGAAGTTTACTCCGAAGTTTGGCATCACAGATGGTTCCTCCAAGAGCAAGAATGATCCCTGAGCACAGGCTAGGAATAATCCCCGAGAGCTGCTGGATGTAGCCCGAAAATATGCACTCCCCTCACCCCCTCCGCCAAACTTGAAACAGCAGACTCTGGCCCTCTGAAATGCTGGGGCATTCCATCCAATCAGCTGGGGGAGGTCTTTTAGGCAGATTCTGAGTTTCCCCGGAAGAGGGATTCACAAGCCTGCAATATGGAAACTCTGTCAGAGTTTTCCACCTGCAGCCCAATGGGGCCCAATCTCAAGACTGTAACACTAACTCACACCTTATTTTCCAGCTTGTGATGTGACTTACCACTTCCAAATGCAGCAGTCTCCACAACCATGGATCAATTCCTTAAAATCAATCACCCCCCCCCCACCACACCCCTCATTTTGGGCCATACTCAGCAGTGCTCAGGGAATGATTCCTGGCGGTGCTCCTGAGGACCATTTGGGGTGCTGCAGATGGAACCTGGGTCAGCGACAGGCAAGACAAATGCTCTACCCACTGTACTATTGTTCCGGGCCCTCTATGTCTATCTCTTATTGATTCTATTTCTCCGGACAACCCTTAATACACTGATCCTGATTTATGTATTTATGTGTATAGTTTTATATAATCATATTATTCCTCTATGTGATGATCATAGTTTAATATAAACTAGAGAAATTCTCAATAAAGATACTGTTATGTTCCTACTATCAAGAGGTTCTTCATTAAATCTTCATAACTACCTTTGATGGATTCAGGTGAAAGCATTATGATACAACTGACTTAAACTTACAGTTTGGCTTATGCACCTGAATTTGTTCTAAGAAAGAGCTGCTGATAAAATACTTGATAACTAAGAGGGGCTGGAGTGATAGCACAGCGGGTAGGGCATTTGCCTTGCATGTGGCCGACCCAGGTTCGATTCCCAGGATCCCATATGGTCCCCTGAGTACCGCTACTAACAGGGAAGAAAGGCATTAAGCATAATTTGCACCTACTTGGAACTCATGATGGACTTTGTGAATGTATTTATAAATTCTCTTGTGGTGTAAGAGCCGGTGCAGGAAATAGTGCCAGGTGTCCTCGATCACTGCACAGCCAAGACACCGGGCCAAGAGTGAATACCTGCAAGTGAAAAATATTGTCATCAGCAGAAATGATATTTTTTGGGGCGCAAATTAGTTTTACTCAGGGTCCTGCTTGAGACATTCTCCATCCAGCCCACACAGCACTGCCAGGCCAACTCTGAGGCCAGGAATGACCTCTGGATCTTGAGCACTGCTTTTGGGAGGCCACCCCACAAACAAACCTGGCAGACAGCTCAATGGGCTGAACGCCTGTTTTGTATGCGCCCTGCACCTCCTATACTAAAATCCATTCACTTTTAGGAATAGCAATAAACTTGACTTAATTAAAGTTAATAACAGATCACTTCCCCTTCACCAAAGAGGACAAAAGTACAATGCGTAAAAAAATACTTTATAGACAAATGGACACATATACAGAAACTTCTTTTTATGCTGAGTCTGTATTATGTAAAAAACAGTTACACATCAAGTGAACCTGTAACCACATTACCAGATGGCAGGTGAAGAAAGGTTGAAAATTGCTGCTCTCCCACCTTGGGTCTAAATGCCAGCCCATGCACCCGCAGGAGTGAAAAGGCCCAGGCACACTGACACAAAAGGGGCTAGATTAACTTCTGATGGGAGAAAGTCACCACCCAGTAAAAAGACACATTAATAATAACAGAAAGCTATTAAAAAAAAAAAAGCTACTGACTTCCTCTTCAACATAATTTACTTATACCGGAAATTTAGAGTATAAAACAATAACCAAATGAAGAAAAGATAAACATTAAGTACATCTTGTTGGGTAACAGGCCACGACTGAGTACAAACACCAAATCTTCATCTACATACCATCTTGGCATCCTTTCCCAATCGTAAGGAATACTGAAATACTCGGTGAAGTGGTAAGTTCCACAAATCAAAGGAAGCTGAATACAGAAGTGATTAAAGAGAAGCACTTTGAAACACTTCCACTGGCCTTCCAATGATTCCGTTTTATCCTGTGGGGATTAAAAAGAAAAAGTAGAGTATTTAGTATTGATCTTTCTCCTCTTTTGGTTAACCTGACAACAGAAGTAAACTCCTAACTTTTTCTCTACTGTTTGTAGAGAGCTTAATTCTATGCTATTAATAGAAAGATCCTTCCTGCCTGAATGTTTTCCCCCATGGGTCACCATGCTTAGCCTGGTCAGTGGTGCCGGGGAAATCCATGCCATGCTGGGGATCAAACTCAGGCCCGGCACATGACAGGTGTGTGCCCTTAACACCCGAGATCTCCCCAGGCTCCCAATTGCAATTCTTACCAACTATCATTACATCAACACATGACAGGTGTGTGCCCTTAACACCCGAGATCTCCCCAGGCTCCCAATTGCAATTCTTACCAACTATCATTACATCAAATTGGTGACGGAAAGGTTACGGACAAATGCAGGTACCTCAGTTCCAATGATCTCAAACACCTAAGGAAGGACTTTGCAATGAATAAACTCCCCAGTCTTCACCTTACCCGAAACGTTTGCTTCTCCTACCAGGAATCTCAGAGAAGAAAAGCCAAGATCATAGTCAACTCTCCCCCTCCTTGAAGCAACTGCATACGCCGCCCTGGACGTCTTTATTTCAAAGGTAAACTGATCTCTTTAGCCCTATGGCAGCATTCGTTCCCAGCATTAAGCTCATTCTGTTCTTGTTTAAGGACAGAATGGAAACCCTCCAAGCTTAAGTAACTTCAGAGGACGTAAAACCCCGATGATGAAATCCAGGGAAGTGAAAATAAGAGGAGGGAGAGCCACACTGCGGCGATCTTCGAACCCCAGCAGGTCTTACGAAAAACAAAATCATTCAATTTTGGGTACCAAATGTTCATATAAAAAATGCACTTGACTTTACAGAAAGACTGTGATAATAAATAGTAGTTATTGCTTTGTCTTAAAATGTTCTTATTTAAAAATTCAGAAATCTTGGGGCTGGAGTGACAGCACAACGGACAGGGGATTTGCCTTGCATGCAGCCAACCCGGGTTCGATTCCCAGCATCCCATGTGGTTCCCCAAGCACCGCCAGGAGTGATTCCTGAGTGCATAAGCCAAGAGTAACCCCTGTGCATCACCGGGTGTGACCCAAAAAAGCAAGGTAAAGGTAAAAGGTAAAGGCCCTCCCGTTGATCGTCGATTTGCTCGAGCGGGCCCAGTAACGTCTCCATTGGAGACTTTGTTGTTACTGTGTCTGGCATATCGAATACGTCACGGGGAGCTTGCCAGGCTCTGCCGAGCGGGCGAGATACTCTTGGTAGCTTGCCGGGCTCTCCGAGAGGGGCGGAGGAATCGAACTCGGGTCGGCCATGTTGGCTGCGTGCAAGGCAAACGCCCTACCGCTGTGCTATTGCTCCAGGAGTGATTCCTGAGTGCATAAGCCAAGAGTAACCCCTGTGCATCACCAGGTGTGACCCAAAAAAGCAAAAAATCTAAAATCTGGGCTAAAGTGCTAATGTAGTGGGTAGGGTGTTTGCCTTGCATGTGGTCAACTTGGGTTGGATACCCAGTACCTTGAGCCCACTAGGAGTGACCCCAGAGAACAGAGCTGGGAGAAAGCCCTGAGGGCTGCTGGGTGTGGCCCCCAAACCAAATCTGAAATCTACAGATAAAACTCCATAAATCATATCCCAACTGCTGTATACCAACTATGGGAACTCCGCTGAGCAGAAACCCAAAGAGGCCGTCTGCCGTGGCCAGGATCACACAGGCAGGTGTAAGAGAAGCAGGACGGATGGAACTCAAGTTCTCCCGCTCAGTTCCAGATATCTGACTTTTACAATCGCAGTTTAACATCAAGAAAGCTCAAGGCAATGGATAAAGAAACTATCATTTATCTACACACTGGAACACTACGCAGCTGTTAAGATGAAGTCAGAAAATCTGCTTATACGTGGACGGACCTGGAGAGTATCATGCTGTGTGAAATCAGCCAGAGGGACGGGGTGAACAGAGAAGAATCTCCCTCATTCAAGGAATATTCACTGTATCATGGTCATCCTGTTGTTCATCAATTGCCTCGAGCAGGCCCGAGTAACGTCTCCTTCATCCTAGCCCTGAGATTTTAGAAAGTGCCACATTCGAGGCTCCTCCAGGGTCAGGAGAATGAGACCCATCATTGTTACTGGTTTTTGGCATACTGAATATGCCACGGGGAGTTCGCCAGACTCTGCCGTGTGGGCAGGGTACTTTTGGTAGCCTGCCAGGTTCTCCAGAGTAAGAACTAGATAATAAGATTTCCCTTCTGGGAGCTGGGTTTTATAGTTTCTGGATCTTGGCCGTTGAGGGGATTATACGGCGCTGGGGGAAGTTGGTGGGTGTAACGCCTACATACTGGAAGATGGGGGATCTGGGTGGAGGCGGCCCAGTCCCGATCCGAGCAGGCTTGGAGATCTACGCCCCGGGTCCCGCACACCTGGGTTCCTCTGCCGATTCCTTCATGTGTGAGGCTCGTCTGAACGTGTGGAGACTGGTCTTAAGCATGGCTGTGGCTGGAACCAGAGGTCTTCAGCTTCCGGGGCTCTGGTCCAGTTCCAGCCACAGCCTTGCTTAAGACCAGTCTCCACACGTTCAGATGAGCCACACGCACGAAGGAACCGGCAGAGGAATCCACGTGTGCGGGTCCCGGGGCGTAGATCTCCAAGCCTGCTCGGATCGGGACTGGGCCGCCTCCACCCAGATCCCCCATCTTCCAGTATGTAGGCGTTACACACACCAACTGCCCCCGGCGCCGTGTAATCCCATCAATAGCCAAGACCCAGAGACTATAAAACCCAGCTCCCGGAAGAGAACAGCACAGAATCTCCTGCCTCCGCCCCTGGCTGTCCTCACCAGGGCCCCTTGGAGGAGGGTGGGTCGAGTTTCCCTCCCCATCCCGAGGGATATTAAAAAAAAAACAAAAAAAAAATAAAACCAAGCAATAACATAGTATGTGAATAATACCCAGTGACATAGAAACAAGGGCCAAAAGGACTGGTCCATGGCTGGAAGCTTGCCACAAAGGTGGGATGGGTGGGGAGCGCTCAGGACAGAGAAGGGACCACTGTGACAATAAGAGCTGGATGATCCCTTTGGACACAAACTGAGGGCTGAAAGGAGGTACAGCGATAAGCAAGACACCCTTTCAGTAACAGTACTGCAAACCGTGGAGCCTGAAAGGAAAAGAGAAAAGAAAGGTGTCTGCCCTAGAGGTTGACTATGGGGATGTGACCGGAGGGAAACAAGGACACTGGGAGCGGGCAACGTAGATTGGTGAAGAGGACAGGTGGTGCAACATCGCAGGACTAAAACTCAATCAGAACTTAATTTTTTTAATTATTCACTTTTTACTTGGAGGTTCTGAAGGGAAAGAGGGAGAGACAGTGAGAGAGCGGAGAGTAACGTGCTCAAGAGAGAACCTGGGCATCTCCAAGGGCGGAGACAGCCCCCCACACACCCCAGCACTGGACATACAAGCATGAAACGACACACCTCAAGAGGAGAGATGTGGGTGAAACACGTGACATGTGCTCAGGCACACTTGCTTGGCCGCATGGGCTTGGGCAGCATTTGCGCCTCAGGGACAACTTTAAAACTGTGTTTCTCAAGATGACTCAATTAGGGAAAAAGAATTTTTTTTTTTAAAAAAAGGAAGTCACAGACAGGTAACCCCGAGGGCCGGCCCACACTGTCAGTCTACCGTAAAGAGTTGTAATCAACTGCATAGTTGCTGGTCCTTGTTTCTGTCTCCTCTTATTTCAAAGCCACTCATAAAACCTTGACTGAGCAAGTCTTCCTTGCGCAGAAAAGGTTACCATCTACGTGACCCGAGCGTGAACGGCAGAGGCAAAGAAAACGCCACGTCAGCTTGGCAAGAAACCAACCCTGGGAAAAATCAACAGGTGATGGCCACGGCCAGATTCTGCCTCTCACAGCAGCCCCGGGGAACTTTGTCCCCCTAATTTAGGGTTAACTGCATGCTCGCCTTTACCCGGTCACTTCCCTCCAACGCCCATTCTGTGTCCCTCCACATCCTCCCATCCTTCCTTTGGACTCCAGGCTCTACTGCATTTGCTTCACGCGCTGGAAGAGGCCAGAGCTACCAGGCCGAGGGACGAGGAAAGTGCAGCTCCACACGCAGACTCAGTGGGTGTGAACCGTCTCCAAGGAGGTTCATGGCAACTTCTACCAAGGCTTCTCAGAAACAGGAAGCGTCAGAAACACTCAGGATGGAGTCCGAGAGAGAGTCGGAGAGAAAAGACGCTTGCCTAGCATGTGGCTCGCCTGGGTTCAATCTCCAGAACCCCAGATGGTCTCCCCCAGGCCCATCAGGAGTGATCGCTGAGCACAGAGCCAGGGGAAAGCCCCAGCACTGCTTGGTGTGGCCCCCAAACTTGAATACTTTTTTTTAAATTAAAAAGCAAATTCTCGGGGCTGGAGCGATAGCACAGTGGGCAGGGCATTTGCCTCGCACGCAGCCAACATGGCCGACTCAAGTTCGATTCCCAGCATCCCATATGGTCCCCCGAGCACCGCCAGGAGCAATTCCTGAGTGCATGAGCCAGGAGTAACCCCTGAGCATCGCCAGGTGTGACCCAAAAAGCCAAAAAAAAAAAAAAAAAAAAACCCCCAAAAAAACAAAACAAAAAAAAAAACAAACAAACTCTCAGGAGCTAACCAACGATAGATTATAAATTAATCTCGATTTCGGTCTTAAACTAGGTCAAGCCACTGGTGTTCACAGGGGTCAAGCTGGCTGCTTTCCCCATGAGCCAAACTGGGAAGAGGCTGTGTCTGTCTGAGCACTTGTCATGGAGAGTAGGCTCTCCAGAAACATGCAGTGCATTGAACCAGAGCAATAGTAGAGGCGGGGAGGCATTTGCCTTGCAAATGGCCGATCCAGGTTTGATTTTCAGGATCCCATTTGGCCTCCTGAGTACTGCCAGGAGTAACCCCTGAGGTGTGTAAACAAAAAGAAAAAAAAAGAGGGGAACGTACATTAAAGCGAATGCTAAGGAGTTCTGCTTATTTAGCAAAAGCACAATTAGGCCTGACCAAGGTCTTCAAGTATTTTCATGCACTTTGCTGGAGTGAATTAGAAAGCAATATCCATAAATCCCTGCAATTTTCCATTCCAGGTTGTTTAAAAATAACAACTTACAAATCTAGATTAAATAAACACCACATCTACGATAAGCACAATTTAACAAAGTTGCGACTAATCACCAGGCTACTGAACACTAAGTATGATTAAATGGAGAGGGCCTAAAATCAGTGTAAAGTGCAATTATTTTGAAAACTTTTATGGAGAATAAGGGCACAGGATATTACAGTAAGCATTTTAAAATTATAATTATTTGCTGAAATAATTGTTTGGGTTTATTGGGTTAAACTGAATGGAGAATTAAAATTAATTTCCAGTTCAACTCTCATTAACACTGGGTATCTTTATACGTTTTAATGCATTTTACTAGAAAACTTAAAATTATTTGTGTGTCTTTGTTGTATTTTTATAAAATAGGAAAGATCCAGACTACCTCAAAACAAAGTTATCTGTACTTTAAAATATTCAACATTACGAATTAATGTATGCCGTGGCAAATTCATCACACTCACCTTCTGAATTTTATACTTCTTCATGAAAGGTATAAACTGAAACAAAAATCCAGGTAAAGAGAAGAGGAAATAAAGGGCCTCATGAACAATGAGGGATCCCCATGTTGCAATCTGGAATTTTGTGTAGTTGTTCAACATAGAGTTCCAAGCATTTTTAAAGGGTTCTTGTAGCGGATTCTCAGGTATAAGTGAGTCCATGTACTCCACAGCCAAAGATGCCGAACTCAAAATGCCCACGCTGTCATTCAGGGCCATCTTTCAAATCTCCGCTGACAGCCGTTGGGTTCTGTCAACATCAACAGAAAAACAAGCAAGCAGAACAATGTAATTCCAAGAATCTTTTGATTTTGATTAAAAAAAATAATAACAACACCCACTCCAGACGAAACCCTGATGGCCACAAGCGTCCAGAAGCCAAACCCTGATACTCAGATTTTGGGACTAAGATTCCAGGCCACATGGCAGCAGCTGCGACGGGTCACCCCTTCCTGTCTCCCTGCCGGCCTGGGGTCCTGGCTGCCACATCCACAATCTACCTCCGGGCGTCATCTCAGTGCATGAATGGCCTTGATCCAGAGACTTCCAAATGACTCTCAAAATGGATTAGATCCCTACAGAGATGTCTCTGGACCCCAACCATTTACAATTTTAGAATTCCAGAAGAGCGTGACCTCTCATGATATTCATAATAAGCAACAGAAAATAAATTATCTAGCATCTGCCCTGGCAGGCAGGTTTGAATGGTGGTGGGAAAATTTGAAATAATGGTGATGGGAAGGTGTAATGGTGGTGGGACTGGTGTTGAAATATTGAATGTAATCAACTGATGCGAACAACCTTTATGAAAATAAAATTTAAAAAAATTTTTTTCACACACACAAAAAGTGACTGAAGAAGCACCCATGTCGTATCTCAAACGTGTAATTTTCAGAAGGTGAAGCTCGAGAGGTTTGTTGCCTTCTGAAATCCTGCCTGCTCTGAAGGAGAGCGGTATCCCTTCCATGTGGACAAAGCCATGGAAGGACCTCCTGAGGAGAAGTTATTTCAAATAAACTGAAAATCAAAGAATATCAAATGATGGGTGACCTTCATAACATGTTGACTGGGAGAACATGAGGAGGGCAAGAGAGGAGAAGCTGAGACTGGACAAAGCATAAGCAGAAATAACTGGAGGCAGTAATGCAGCCCACTTTCAGGTCTGTGGCAAGACTTGTAGTTGAATAAAACTGAAGAGATATCTTTATAAACACAATAAAGAAGCTCAAAGTTATAAGGACTTTTATGATGATTCTGCCACTATCAGTCATTAACAGCACTGTAGCACTGTCCTCCCACTGTTCATCAATTTGCTCGAGCGGGCACCAGTAATGTCTCCACTGTGAGACTTGTTACTGTTTTTGGCATATCAAATATGCCACCGGGAGCTTGCCAGGTTCTGCCGTGCGGGTGGGATACTCTCACCGTAGTCTGCCCGGCTCTCCGAGAGGGACGGAAGAATTGAATCCAGGTCGGCTGCATGCAAGACAAACATCCTACCCACTGTGCTATCACTCCGGCCCAGCCATTAATAAATTCATTTAAAGCCAAAATGAATTAAAAAAAAAAAAACCTGTATCAGATGTCTTTACCAGCTCCATTTGTAGAAAATGATTGAAAAGTTACACGAAAACTTTCAGGAGCAAGACCCAAAAGAACAACAGTGGGGGGCTAAGAGATAGTATAGTGAGTAGAGCAGTTCCTTGCATGCAGCTGATCTTGGTTCAAATCTGTGACACTCCAAATGGTCCCCACCAGGAGTGATCCCTGAGCACGGAGCCAAGAATCAGCCCTGAGCAAGCAGAGCTGGGTGTGAAGTCAATCAGACCCCCTTCCCCCAAATCCCCCTCAACAATGGATAAAGGACACTATTTTTTAAAAATCTTCATAGAAAAACTTGCAACGTTAATGATAGTTGCAGTGCTAGTTGGAGATGATCACTCTGTACAAAAACTGAGTGCTGAAAGGAGGCAAGGTGATAAGCAAGACACCCTTGCAGTAACAGTAATACAAACCACAGAGCCTAAAGGAAAAGAGAGAAGAAAAGTGTCTGCCATCGAGACAGACTGTGGGGGCAGAGTGGAAGTAACAAGAGTTACTTAGAAGTAAGTCCTGGTTCATTCACCGCCTCTGAACCGTCATTCTGCCCTGTTTGAACCTGTTGATAGATCATTTGCCTTTCTTCTCTTCCCTGAGGAAGTTCAAGTGTAAGACCACGATTACTCTAAAGAACAAGCATCCCTCATCCCGCCTCCTACAATCCACTAGGAACCAATCACTCTTCTCAGGAGAGCTCAGCAGAGCCCCACCCCACACTCACTTCAGGTGAGTCAAGGTGTCAAAATCAATCTCCGCAATCCCCACTTTCCGTGAGGTCATCACCGTGGTGGTGGGGGACACCCAACACTGCTCAGCGTTTACTTCTGGAAGGGCTCAGGGTGCCAGGGATCGAACCTGGGTCGGCCAGCTGACCTCTGTACTATCGCTCCGGCCCCTGTCATCACCACATTTAATTGAACCAGCACTAAGCAGTTCCCACGTGTGACCGCGAGCCTCCTGGAATTGCAGCTTCATCATTTACAAGGATGCTAAGAGGGAGCTCCCACCCCTCACCGGGGCATGAGATCGTAAGGACAAACAAGCAAGCACACAAAACATAGACTGGAGCCCAGGAGAAATGTTCCCACGGAAATCTCCTGAACCATCTTTGCACCACTCCCACTTACTCGCCAGCAACCACAACCTGCTCCCGATTCTTACCCCTGCCCTGAACTTGCCCTTCTGAAAAGCACCCCGTCAGCCCTGCCAGTCAATGCCTGGGAGCATCCTTTGCCGTTCCTCTGAGTGGTCTGGAAGTAGCTGCTTCTCTCCTTCGAAACGCTTCCCCCGGGACCTGCTCCGGTCCGGCCTCCACTAAAGCAGCGTCTCACAGAACGTTTGTGGGGAAGCCAGAGAGGAGCGGCAGGCCGGGGAATGCAGAGGCCTGAGGGCCCAGGAGGGCCCGGAGCAGAGAGGAGGTGCCCGCGACGAAAACTCTTGCTTGTTTTCTCGACCCGTCCTAGACGTTTTGAGGGCCACAAAGCTCCTCTTCCCGGCATGCCAATGAGCCTGCTTTTCTCCTATCCCGTACCCACTCCGGTCTTGGCTTCCAGGCCCCTGCAACTGACCCCTGGCTTTGGTAACTCCAGCACTGGAAATCAGATCCGCTGCGCTTCCCGATCTGTGGGTCTGGCCTGTCCTGGAGAAGTGAAGTTAGAAGCGGAGGCTGGAGAGTTTCCCGGGGACACTCCCTTCGCCTTCTCAGCCAGTGCCTCCCCCACCCCTCATGCCCCTGGCCAAGCCCCTTCGCAGGTGTTTGAAGCTCCTCCAGCAAGCTGCTGCCAGGCCCTTAACCTCCAACTCCGAATTCCTGCCAAGTCAAAAAGTGTGAGGATGGCTCCCAGGTGTTGGCAGCTTGGGGGATGCCACAGGCCGAGATGCCCCAAGGGTCCCACCTCCCTTGATCCCCACCTTGGTGAATCACCTGCTGCCTTAGTCATCTCAGAAGCATCATCGGTCCATGTCTCTGCTGCTGAGCCCTAAAACTCTCCCTCCCGAGTCAGAGGCGCTCATGGGCACGCCAGGACTTACCTCCTGGGCACCAGGGCGCCAACGGGGACGGGAATGTGGCATCAGTGCTGCCAGCCGGACCCCCTCCCCCCCCCAAAAAAAAATGAGCCAAAGAGAAAAGGAGGGTGGTAAGAGAGAGTGGACTTGCCTCCACTTTTCCTCCTTTCTTAGGTGACCAGGAGGCTCGAAAGCTTCCCCGGGAGCAGCCTGACCCTAGGGAGTGTGTTTGTGGTTGTGGGTGTGGGTGTGTGTGTGTGTGCATGGGGGGTGGGGGGCGTAGGGTTCGGGGGGGGGGGATGAGGCCGGTCCTCAGTGGTGGCCGGGCCCTTTCTTTGCTCGGACCCATTTGCAAGAGCTGCCTGGCCCCTCCGGCCCTGCGCTGCTGAAACTGCCCCCCGGGCCCGCGGACGCCAAGACCTAAGGAAGGAAACGGCGGGTCATCCCCCGCCCCGGTGCTCCCGCTCTCGAAAGTTCCAGCGCCAAGTCCACCCCCCCCCACCCCCACCCCCAGCACCCCTCCCAGAGCAAGGCTGCCAGGCCCCGGCCCGACTCCCGCACCTCGCACCCGCGCCCCGGCGCGCTCACCTGCAAGACGGCGCGGGGACTGCGGGCGGCCGCCACTCCCTCGCGCAGGTGCTCCCGGCCCCGGCCGGCCGAGCCCCGCCCCGTGGGTGGGGCCGGGAGGGCGAGGCCGGCGCCTCCGGCCCGCGATTGGCTCCCCGGGGCTTCCGGCCCGCCTCCTCGGCGCCGGGATTGGCCTGCGCGGTGGCCGTCATCGGGCGACACGCTGCGGCGAGCGCCATGCCTCCCGGCCATTGGCTCGGCCGATGGAGTGAGGATAGTGAGACCGCGGCGTCAAGCCAATAGCGGGCGGCGGAGCGCGCCGCGGAGGCGGGGCGATGCTTTGCGGGCAGCGCGGCGCGAGGAGGCGGGCACGAGCGCGCGCGCGCGCGCACCCGAGCGCCGGCCCCGAGGGGTCGGGCGGGCGGTTGCAGCTCCGGGGAGGTCTCGGGGGACTCCAAAGCGCTCCCGAGCGTCGGAGGCGGCGCCCAGGGTTTGGGTGCACCAGCTTCCCGGCGCCCAGGTTTTCTTTAAGGATCCCGGAGGACCGAGGTCCGGGTTCGAATCGCGCGTGTCTCCCGCAGCGAATAGGGGGTTGCCAGCATCCCCGTTTTGCAGGTGGCAAGGCCTGGGCTCAGAAAGGGCTGGAGAATAACTTAGAGGCCAGCCGGGTATCCTAGAGGAAAGGGCAGTTCAGATAGAGAAGGGAGCACCAAATAAAGGGTGTTTGGAGGATCCTCTCAGGAGGGGAGATGCATGTCGAAAGTAGACTATGGACCGAACATGTTTGCCACTCAATCCCTCTTTTGCAGACCACAACACCCAAAAGGAGAGAGAGAACAAAAGGGAATGCCCTGCCACAGAGGCAGGGTGAGATGGGAGGGATGGGGGTGGGAGGGATATTATCCATGGTGGTGGGAAATGGGCACTGGTGGAGGGATGGGTATCTGATCATTGTATAATTGAAACCAAAGCACAAAAAATTGTAAATCTACAACTTTAAAAACAATAAAATAAAATAAAGGGGGAAAAAAAAAAAAAAAAAGAAAGGGCTGGAGAATGATGCCAGACTGACTCAGC